AATTAATTTAACAAGTAATATGTTTATGGTTTATCTTTTAACACAAAAATATTCTGTTTTTATGTGACAAAGATAACTTGTTTTTCAAGCTCAGTGAAATTTGTCCCTTATTTAATCATTATGCAAACCAATAAACATAACTGAAATCATTTACAAACTGATAATCTCATGGTTAACAGACAATCAATACATTTCATTTTATTATTATCATTCCCAAATGATTGCTAGAAATAATAAAAAGAAAACTACACTTTTCTACTCCAATATAGAAATATTCTATACAAACAAACATTTAATGTATAAAAAAAGTAGAAAAATATCTACTTAAGTTAGATAGCTATCTTTAATTAATGCTTTACAATTCAAAACAGAATTATTACAATAAATCAGTGTATAAATGAGTGAAAATGAGCATACTGTAAAACTAAATTCTGGACTACAAAAAAAGCTAAAATATATGAACTTGAACTTTCTACGGTTAAACATTGCTCATGTTTTGGTATTACAGTTATTGTTCAAAATGTCAAAAACATATTATGAGTATTAGAGGTATAGTTGAAAAACATAGCTGATATTGTTAAGTTCTGGGTTTTATTTCTATCTATGTTAAGATGATATTTGTGCACTTAACTAGTATGTGCTACAATGAGGCAATTAACTCGATTATCTATGAGCATTGATTACACTGGGTAATGTTATGTAAAATAATCAATTAATCAGAATTAGAATTATATTGATTGACATAAAAATAATCAACTAATGTCTTCAATTATTCCAACTATCCAGTAATTAAAATATTGTCATTATAATTTTTCATTAATACAATTTTGTTTTGATTAACCAATTTGTGTCACAACTGAAGAATATAATCAACTAATCAAAATTGAGGATTCCAATTATTACTATTTTAAGTTATTTCAATAATCAACTAATTTAAATATTGCCAGTATGTTTGTTTGTTGTTAAGCACAAAGCCAAACAATAGAATATCTGTGCTTTGCCTATGGAAGGTATCAAAACTTGATATTTAGCATTACAAGTCTTTTAGCAATCTCCTGTAAGAATAATCTAGTTTTGTTTTTGAGCCATTTTATGAGAACAGTCGACTAGTTGAGTGTAACTGATTAATGAACCCGATAATTAATCAATTAGCAAATACCACTAATCGCTCAGCCTTAGTATGTACTGACGATCAAGCTTCTTGTTGATTGAGTTTCTATTATGAAAAAAAAGTTACTTCTGGACACTGTTAAAAATGCAATACAAGGCAGTACTGGTTCATTGATTACACAAATTATTTGGAATAAACTAATACTAATTATGATAAATCTTGGCTTCAAATTTACCTAGAACAAAAAGACGATGGGGGAGATTTAGTGGATTACCCAAACTTCACAAGCACAAGACTAGCCACATAAGATTATTAGATAAAATGTTTTACAAGTTACACTGTGTAAATTGTACCATGCATTCTCAATTATACATCAAGTGACACACATAGCAGTAAACTGTAAGCCTGGCGAATTGAAAGGACTTGTACAAATATCTGAGCATATGTACAAAATAACAAAATCCAATCTGTAAAACAAATACTGGATTTCTGAAAGAGTAACCCAGTCAACATGCAGTTGGAAGATCAGTTCTATTTAGGAAACAAAGTATAATTAGTGAAAAAAAAAAAATCCACTTCAACTACATGTCACACTGAATAAATATTATGGTAGTGTGTGTCAATGTAGCAATTTTAAGAACAGTCATATCTGAAAATGAAGGATTCCTGAACTGCAATAGAACTAGAATGTGAATTTGTTAAAGATCAAAAGTAACAGGATGTATTGCTCATTATAACTTAAAATCACTGTAATTCAGTACTCAATTTTTAGTGACTATAGTTATCGTTTACTTTGGCTGTGTATTATTATTTTTACTTTTACCTGACACATGTAAAATGTATGTATATGTTTAATACTGGATAGACATCTAACTGAAAGCATTTTTGTGCAAAGTATTTAAAATAAATCATTATCAGCACTACACTACTGGAACCAGGTGGATAAACTGTGGTAAGCAAACACATCTTGAATTTTATACATTTTACTTTAACTAATGTCTGAAATTACTGTTCACCTAAGTAATGTAGGGTTCAGTCAGTCTGGAATAGGACTTCAACCAGAGCTGTCTGAAACAACCCTAAAAGAAACAGTGTTAGATTTCCAGTAAAAGTGACCACCAATAGCCCAAAAGCAAGTACACTGTTTATGCATACTGAATAATGATTGATCCTTGTATTTTTGTCCAGTCTATTTCTTTTTCAGGAACACACTTACTTAGAGAACTCGGAATTACTTTGTGATAAATATTTTGTTCAAATCTTGCTATTCAGTAGACCTATTCTATTACTCTACTGGAAATAACTTAAACCTGAAAATACTAAAGAGTGGATAAGAAGGAGAAAATTTTGGTTGTGTGACCAGATATCTTGTTACAGATTTTTCCATTTTCTTCTGACATGTGTTCCCTTTAACTTGAGCTCTTGAGTTATTAAAAAGGCTGTTTTGTTAAAATGGCACTTTCCACAACTCGAAGGAATTACGACCACGAGGAAGAGTCAGTTACTGAAAGAAGACATCTGTCTGAGAAAATTGTACAGTCAAGGAAATGTACTCTCCTGGATGTAGAACTTTTGCCAATGTTGTGAAGGTCCATGATTTCTTTCCCATTACAGCTGATGACTCAGAAAAGTTAGCACTCAGATATGTTCACAGATAGACCAGAAAAGACAGACCTTGTGTAGTCAAGGTGAAGCCATAGCAGATGCCCTCTGCAATGACACATGATCAAGCATAAAGCTGAGGTAATCTAAGAAGCCAGAATCATTGAGCTTTCGAATTGAGCCTACTGTTCAACAGTGGTAATCGTAAAGAAGAGGAATGGCTCAACCCATTTTCCCATACATTTCCGGAAACTGAAACTATGGGAAACCCAGATACTATCATTGTGAAACTAGACAGGGCCAAGTTCTTTACCAAGACTAAGCTTAGTAAAGGGTATTGGCAGATCCTGATGGAGACAAAATCTAAAGAGAAGACAGCCTTTGATAGAACACAGATGCTACCAGTTCAAAAGGATGCAGTCTGGGTTAGTCAACTCAGCAACTACATTCAACCTTATGATGAGGATGATGTTGCACAAAACCACTTACATTGAACATTATGTGGATGGTATTCTGACTTACACAACCAGATGGGAAGACCACCTGAAGAAACTCAGAGAGCTGCTTTGGTGAGCGAGGACAGCAGTTCTTACCATTATACCATCTAAGTGCTACATCAGTTATTCTGTACTGGACTTTGTTGAACACAAGGTGGGCAACCAACAGATAGCCATGAAAAAGAAGCTAGCCCACTTATAAGATGCACCAGCTCTGATGACAAAACAGCAAACCAGATCCTACCTAGGGTTAGCTGGATACTATAGGAATTTCATCACAAATGACACTAAAGTCACTGCACCACTGACTGACCTGACCACGAAAGGCCAACCCAACAAGGTGAAATGGTAATAACCACAGGAGATATCATTCCAGAAGTTGAAGAACACATTAAGTAGTTTACCAACCTTAGAATACCAGACTTAAACAAACTGTTCATCATTCAGTCTGATACATCAGAAATTGGAATTGGAGTAGCATTTCTGCAAGAACATGTAGACAGACTGCTTCTCATAATACACATCAGTAAAAAGCTGTTTAGTAGTGAGAACTACATTGTGAATGAACAAGTGACTGGCCATCATATTCGCCATCCAGAAATTCCAGAATTATCTCTACAGGCATGACCATCAACCCTTTGCATACATCCAGAGGTGTAAAATTGACAGTGCAATGATCATGAAGTGCCCATACTGTGCCTCCAGAAATACTGGTTATGCTTTGAGGCCATCAAAGGGACTGCAAATGTTGGTGCAGACTATATGAGTAGACTTTGTGCATCAACTGCAAACAGTCTTTGTATATAGTATAAAAAATATTGTAAACTAGCTGGAGTATCTGTCTCTTTGTTGGAGGTTATGTAAATTCATGATTAATGAAAGGTTATCTTAGGACATGAAAAGTTGCTTCCCTAAGATTTAATTGTAGAGAGTTTAGCCATAAAGAGCAGATAGTGGCAATTTTTAAAGTGAAATATTACAAATTGTAATGTAATAACAAAGTAGAGAAGAAGAATTTCTTTAGTCAATTATGTTATAAATTGACTGAACAAGCCTGTGTAAACTTTGACAAAAAAGAGACAACTGATTAAAGCTCTGGATACAATTGTGGTAAGCAAGAGTTATAGTGGCGATTTTAAGTTGAAATTATCACAGACTGTATTGTAATAACAGAGCATGAAGAATAATACATCTTGTCAAATTGTGTTCTAAAGTATTTGAAAAAGCATGTGTGTACTTCAAAGAAAAAGTGACAATTATTTAGAGCTCAGGATACAGCTGTGATAACCAACAGTGTAATGAACGTTTGTATATACATATGAATTGTTTTCATATGTAATTTTAAAACAAGTGGACTGATTGCTGTTTGTTTATTGTTGAAATTTATCACCAACAAGTAACAGACACCTACTGTGAAGAATCCAGCCCATACATAAAACCTGATACTCAGCAAGTTTCCCAGTATAAATCAGATAATTCTAAAATGTTAGGCATGAACCTCAAAGTTTTTAAATTATGTTGTTTCTTAACACTTAGTATTTCACTACACATCACACAAACTATATATACATGGTATATTTATATTTTGCACTTCTAAACTATTGTCTAATGCTAATGAAATACTTTAAAATACATTAAAAGTGTAAATTATGAAACTGAGAGCTCAAGCATCTAGGTTCCATTTCATGGATAAATTTATTATTATGTCTACTTTGACTATACTGATAAAATGGGATAACAATGTGTTGTGAGTGCTACAAAACTATCTATCTTTAGAGTTATATTATATGTTCTTTTATCACAAATAACAACTTTTTATTTTTGATGTGATGTTTTTCAATTAGCACACACACACACACACACACATATATATACACACACGCATATATATATATATATATATATATATATATATATATATACACACACACACACACACACTACGTACTAACGTAACTAACTACTATATAAGTAAGTTAAATTAACTTAATAATTTAACTTAATTTACTTTACTTTATTTACGTTACTTACCTT